AGTGGCCAGGATGGGTGTGCGTGATGATGGCCAATTTAAGACCTTGCTAATATCTGGAGACTCTGGGTCCCTCCATCCCTCTGTATCTATGTATAGCCCACAAACGTTCTACTTTTTTCTACATCTGAAATGTCTTACAAGCTCCTTTGCTTCTTCACATAATTTCTCTTATTTGCTAAAGCAGAGTCAGGTACTCTTTAAAAATATGGGAAATACACGTTACAAAAGCCCATACATATTTCCATTTTATTATCATTTTGTTTTGCTTAGTTGTATACAAAAGACCAGGGGTTGGCAAATTATGGCCTGACAGCTGGCTGTTTTTGTAAATAAAGCTTTATTGGTACAACGCCACACCCATTCATGTACCTACTGCCTATGGCTACTTTGGGGCTCCCGTGGCAGAGCTGGGTAATGGCGATGGAGAGCGTGTGGCTTGCAAAGGCTAGAATATTAACTATCTGGTCCCTTAAGAACATGTTTTCTGGCCACTGTGATAGACTGAAGAAATGACACACGTGTGAGAAACGGGTTACACACACAGTTTACTTTATGCAACACAATGAGCCCCAGAGACTTGTGGGGGGAAAGCCCTTCCATTTGAACTGTCAGATTCCCCTCAGAGGATTAACACGCCCACATTTCCTATACAAGCACCTTTCAGTCCTTCTGATATGGGATGTATGCTGTACCTTTTGTGTCAGACAAATATCTCTGTGGTGTGCACGACCTGGTTGACGTTAGGTTATGTTATCTAACCAGCCTGCTGTAGTTCTAACCACAAGTCAAGCCCTTGAGGTTAATATGAATTTCCTATTCCCTTATCACGGCCTGTCGAGTACCCGCGAGGCAGTTATTTCAAAGTCTGTGGTTAACAAGCAGAGTCAGTCCTCTCTGTTACATATGTGAGATTTGTTAGATATGTCTCGTGTGGATGAGGACTGCGGAGCACGTAGCCCTCCCAGAAATAATTATCACCTCTTTTTACTATATTAGTGTAGTGTGTGGCTCAGTTGGTTAAGAGCTCGCTCAAGAGTTTGAGCTCTGAGCAACAGCGGTTCGATTCCCGGCCCAAGCTGAGCAGATGCTGAGCTGCCAACAGGTGGCAGGATGGCTCAGCTTAAAAAAAAAATATATATATATATATATATATTAGTGCAGTGTGCTACAAAAGGAAATAAGATTTCAACACAGTTTGAAATAAGTAATGTGTAAATAGGATAAAAATGTCTATCCTAGTCACCTGCCACATACACACACACACACACACTTGAAAGTGCAGTTATTTTTTTTTAATTCTTTTTTATTTTTTTAATTGGGGAACACTGTATTTTTCCAGGACCCATAAGCTCCAAATCAAGTAGTTGTTTCCATCTAGTTGTGGAGGGCGCAGCTCAGTGGCCCATGTGGGAATCGAACCGGCAACCTTGGTGTTATGAGCACTGCGCTCTAACTCACTGAGCTAACCGGCCGCCCCGAAAGTGCATCTACGTGGCATCAGATATGGCCATCTGTGACCTGCCTCCAACTTGTCAAACATGGACTCTTTGTTGCTTCAAGATGGTGGGGCGAGAAGGTGCATATCCTTGGTCTGACTAGTTCGTAGACACTCATGGGGACAGAGAAATGAATCTCAGGTTCCCCTCCATGACCTCAGTTTCCTCACCTCCTTTAGTGCCTTATACACAGACCAGACAGAAAAAAGATGAGCCACAAGGGTGGAGGTGAGAGTTAAGCAAGACATGAAGTACCCAATGCTGCTGCCAGCTCATGGGAGGCAGTCGGATCCTATTATTAATGTTAGTTTCGTTTCCTTCCTCTTCTCAGGACACCCCCCCCCCACCTCTCTCCTTTCCACGCTCCGTCTTGCTGCCTGTGGCATGAGTGAGCTCACAGGCTCACTCTCTGAAGTCGCCAAGCTCCAGTCGTACTCGTGGGTACTGTTTCTCAATGTCTGAACTGCTGTTGTTTTTTACCAGAAAGGGCATGGTTCCTTCAGAATGCAGACGCTCCTGTTTCATCAGGTGAAGTCACTGCCCAGTGACAGAACCAGGCTCTTTGGGTTCTGAGCCCAGGTTCAGAACCCGTTCATCGTATAGAATAGTTGCAGAGCTACTGAATTGATACCCCAAGAGGCAGAGAAAGGGGGTTCATGCCAAGGTAGAAGACAGCAACTTTTTACCCTCCTAAAGCTTTGTTGCCAATCCTGAGCATTTTTGTCCACTCCACAGGATCAGACCAAGCAAATCCATGCTTGGTCTCCCTCTCAAAGTCCCACTCCTCCATCGCCCACTGGCTTTCCCTGGAAACTCTTCCAAACCAGTGCTGCCACAGGAATCCTGACCTCCGGTTGTGCCTGGCAAGGAGCCAACATGTCACAGGGACTCATGCTTATCCCTTGGAGTTCAAAGTATGATTTCAACTCTTTCTTTGCATCTTGCCTCTTAGTCGACTATTAACACTGTACATTGAACTTCAGAAAATGGTCCCTCCTGCTTTTTAACCTCCCAAGCTCAAGATTCTGACCTCTTTCCAGTAATTCTAACAGTGATCTGTACCGCTCTCTCTGTTGTCTCCCCAGAAAGAGGAATCCTTCTCTCCTCCCTGTCACCTCTTCCCCCAGCAAGAATTGGTGATGGTATCAGTTTGTTAGTTTTAGTAGGCAATAGTTAAGAGGATTTATGCATTCAAGACATAATTTCAAATTGAAATGGACTTACCGACTTTTTTTTTTAAAGATTTTTATTGGGGAATTGGGGGGATGGGAACAGTGCTGGGGAATTGGGGGGAGGGGAACAGACAAGTTGCTGTCGTTTTTTGTTCTTCAGCCTAGTTGTGGAGGACATTGCTTCTCTGACCCAAGTTGGCACCATCATTGCGCTCTTCCCGGGCGAGGCACATCAGTCGCCGGCTTCTGGACGTCCGCTCACTGTGGCTGCTGGCCGCTCACGCTGGCTGCTGGCTACACATGGTAGCCCATGGCAACCCACTGCCACAGGGGCTGCAGCCCATGCCGTCGCCGGCAACTCAAGGCAGCCCAGCTCCAGGTTGAGCTGTTGTTCAGCATCTTAGCTGTGGAGGGCAGTGTCACTGGCCCTCATATGTGGGATCCGAACCGGGGCCCTCTGGCGTCCCAAGCCAGTTCTTAACCATCACGCCACTCAGCCGGCCCATGTGTGTGTACTTTTAAAGCCACTCCAAAGAAAGTAGATTTGTGTAAAAGAATCAGCCTTGAGTGTTTGTCAATTGACCTCAACTACACAGCTAAGCACTGAGTCTCAAAATTATTACATTCCTTTTTGGGTGCTGGGAATTTGTGTTCAAAAAACACCTTTTCTTTTTTTGAGCTAAAAGGTCCAAATACTAGTATATAGGATAAGGTGACTCCAACTGAAATGCTGGCATTTCTCATTATCAACAATGATAGAGAAATGTCTCTAGACATGTAAATGTAAGAATAATTGTTTCTTACCATGAAGAAATGTAGAATCACTTAGGTTTACATGTACATCCAAAAAAGCACAGAATGTGAATTTATGTTAGAACACCTTCCTTGACTTAATTTACCTCACCAGCGAGGTAGCCTTAGTAGTTCAGGCTTGCGTGTTTATTTGCCACTCCGTTCTTAGTCATTGAATATTTATTTAAAAATAATAGTGTTGGGGCAGCCAGCTGGCTCAAGTGATTAGAACGCAGTGCTTGTAACACCAGGGTTGCCAGTTCAATCCCCACATGGACCAGTGAGCTGCGCCCTCCACAACTAGATTGAAGGCAATGACTTGACTTGGAGCTGATAGATCCTGAAAAAAATAAAGTGTTCCCCAATATAGTTTTTTTTTAAAAATAGTATGAACAACAACAACAAAATAATAGCATTAGCTTCTCATATGACAATCGCAATATATTTTTGTTTCCTTCTCTTTCCCCTTGATGTTTATTCCATCACTACTGTCCATCGCAACGTGCTTTGCTGTCGTTACCTTTGGAACACTGATCTCAGCAGACTGTTTGCGGTTGTTCTTCCTTTACAGAATGGCTGTGTTCCAGCAAATGTAGCTGTACATTGAAAATTGAATCTCTGGTAAGCAAATCCTGTTTTGCTTTCCACCTGAACTTTGTGTATTCGACAACTGGCTAGTTGGCTTTCCAAGAGAAAGCGTTTAAAATGATGTCTGATGAGGTGGGATCGTTGGGGATTAGATAGGCCCGTGGGGCACTGAACCGCTCACCTGTACAAAAAGAGCTTCTGTAGGCGTTTATCAGAGCCCTGGCCTCCTCTTTCATCTTCACCACGGTGAATGTTCTTTACATTTTGCTCCCACAATATTATCAGGACGTGCTCTCTTTCTTACCACAAAGCCACTTTTGTTTTGTCTCTCCCTGTCCTTATCTGCCTTCTTCCTCCTCCATGTCCCTTGTTTTCCTCCCAGCATCTTGACTTGTCCCAAACGTTTTCCACTCACTGGGGCCTTCCAAGCCAGAGGAAGGATGTAACTCATCACTGCTAACCTCAGACTCCCGTTCCTTGTCATTTGCATTTAGAATGTTCTTTGTGGCTTTGTTGGCTGTTGATCAATTTCTCTGCATCTAGTTTGAAGGAAGCCTTCCCCAACTTATGACTTTTTTTAAAATTCAATTTATTGAAGTGACATTGATGAATAAAAGCCATCCACAATTTAAATATGGTCCAACGTTCCCTTACTCTTTTAGGTCGAGATACCAGCTCTAGGGCCTTGCTACTCCAAGTAGGAGCCACTGACCACCAGTAGCATCTCTTGGGCACTTGCTAGAAATGCAGCGTCTGTGCCGCCACCCCCCC